GCAGTGGCTCAACAGATTTATTCAAGGGAGACGGCTCATCATATACAGGCTGTCCCACTAAACATTGGCGGTGAAGAAGAGTTGGTGGCATGCGAAGGCGGTCTCGATGGAGAGTTGGGAATTGCAAAAGATGAATGCTCTGGTTCGGGTGACCCTTTCACACTTGTAAGCATCTCCACTGAGATAGTCAATTACACCAGCATCACTACTTACCGGCCTCTTGGACGAATGTGGGGGTGGAAGAAGGGGGCTAACACGAACAGATTCAGCATTGGTGCTGGCTGGCAACCTGCCTCTAGTCCCTGTGAATTATCTCTTGAGGACCTGCAGAAACGGATTCAGAAATAAGAGAGAAATTTCCTAGTTGGTATCATCCAAATTCCCCAGGTGAGAAAGATGAGTTTGTTTCAAATGTGGACAGGTTGGACATATGAGCTACTCGTTGCTCAAAGACCTTATTACCTGCATGTTAAACTGGAATAAAAAGAGGGGATGCAAGGAAGATAGGACGGTTATATATCCCTTGATGATGATGATGATGATTTAGTTGATGATGGACAAGCAAGTACCTCTTTTTTTATCTAGACCTGACATCTTTTCACTTGCCTACAGTTCATTACATCATTTGGTATTTTCGGAGTACTATTTATCGAGGTTTATTCTTTTTTGTTGGGTCTTCTATGTAATTTAATGCTTTTAACGATTTAAATTGGATGGATTGTCGTAATACTCGTCACTTTATTATTAATTAGTATATATATTATCGGAATTCTTTGATATTATAGAAGAGTAGAAATTAAGATTATATTTTTGAATATCTTCACTGAATCTTTTAAATATCATGTAATATTTATCGTATGCTTTTAAGATTACTTAGTTTCGTAGATTGTTGATTAAGCTTAGATTTCTTCAATCTGATCTGATTACTCTCCCGTACAAATATATTCATGAAGTTGTAAATACTCATATTATATCTCTTCCCCATCTTCAATTTCTTGTTGACAAATTAATGTTTCTCGATCAACCAGTATTTAGAGGCATGCTACCATATATGACAAGCATTTATTTTGTATGGTCAATTTATTGAATTTATATATATATTACCTTTCCGTAGGATGATTGTATAGTTGTAATTTAAAAAAAAAAATTATTCTATTATAATTATAGAGAAATTAATATCGAATTAGCCTATCATAATTAAGGAGAAATCACCCTAAAATTATCCTATCATAATTAGGAAAAAAAGGGCATTCGGCCATTCAATCAAAACTTTAAAAAAAAAATTTATCATCGCGATCTTAACACGATCTTGTGTCCATTATCAATAAATGCAAATACAAATTTATTATTATGAATTTGAAAGTAAAAAAAATAAAATTAATTTAATTATATTAAATATATAAATTTCTACGTATCAAACAATTAAATTTTGAGAGAAATATTTAATTATATTTGAATAAAAAATAATAATACTATTTTAAAAAATACAATTAAAGAAATGGGAGAAGAAACCAATTTTCGAGAAACATTACCGTAATATTTGATTCATTTAAAAGAAATTGAAGTAGTTGAACATATATAGACAATTAATAAGAACTTCAAGAGAACATTCTTTTACAACTTTTTTACTTAATTTTCGTTCAACGCAAGAACATGCGTTACGAGAATCGATCAACATTCAACGTTACTGATTATTCTTGTTGTTGTTATTGTTGCTCTTGTTGTTACTATTACGAAGATAATAAATCATAAATTGGTTGGCGAACCTCAATTTTTCGCAGAAAATGGTGAAGATCTTTCGTTTGATGTTTCCTCTAATGGGAGGGAATCGATCACCCGTGTTCTTCCTGCTAGTAACTGCTCTCTGCCATGCCAATTCCAGCCCTGTGACTTCAACAATCATCTTCACATCCATTGAAGCAGAAAATTAAGAGTCTGCATGAGAAATCAAGTCAGTGGGGGCTAAAGCTTTATATATGGTATTTTTTCTTAGGCTTGTTTAAGTTTGTAAAGAAGAGGAACCTTCCTCCCACTTTCATCCACTCGACACCAACTTCACTTAATTGTCTGTAATTAAATAGAAATGCCATCTTCTTCAATTTTTTGCCCATGGAAGACACCAAGTTTGTTTTGGACCGCTTATGTTGTCCTTTTAAGGCCACAATTTAATCCCTATGTTTGGTTTTTAGGTAGATTAATTATCAAAACATCAAGAAGCTTTGCTGCATTAAATAATTATTCCTGCCAAGTAAATAAATTTTTACCGAGCTAATCATTTCACAGTTAACATGGTAAGTTGGTATCATGTGGGTAAATGCTTCACTAAAGTTAATGCTTCATATAAGTCTCATCTGCATGAGATTAAGAAGATACATGTAAGCACCAATTTTACATGTAATATGTTAAGTTACATTCATCCTCTCTACCTTAAAAATTTTGTTTTCACCAATTTGTAATGAATATAAATCACTCTCCATGTTCTTACTATTTCCCCACTAAAGAACTCTTCTTGATAACAAAAGCTATTCATTCCAGGAAAAAAGAAAAAGGAGTTCCTGATTTAAACAGCCCTGAAGACGTCTGACAATTTGAAATCAGATTCAAAAAAATTTTAAAAGGCATGTGGTAGTTTTACGAAGGGTTCATAGATGTTCACTATCAACAAATGACAGATGCTGGTCTTAGACAAGACTTGTGGAGTAATATTTCCAGTTAAAACAATTGTTTCAAGTACAAAAGAATTGAAACAATCATTGTTTGCTCCGATTTTTTGGAATTTCTGTTGATCTTTTACCTGAATGGGAACTGCCTCCTTCAACAAGTTGGGCTTCCAAAAGCCAACATATGTTTAAAGAAGAAATGAGAAAAGAGCTTGGAAAAGGGATTTTGGTCTTCTCCATCTCTGCGGAGGACGTGAACCATCCTCATTTACAGTGAAAAAATCCTGAACCTGATATTCCCATCTTCCCTGCCAAAATACAGAGAGTATAATGACATTTGCAACCTTTTGCATATGATTTTTTAGGAAACTCAACTCAACAGGTTTGGACCAAGGCCTTACTTCGGGTCATTTAATTAGATAGTTCAATTACAAAGCTATGGAGAGAGGGAAAATTCTTTCCAAGCTATTGCAGATGTTGTAGTTTGTTAGATTTAGATCCATTTTCTACCAATGGAAACAGATTTAGCACATGGATTATTCAGAAAGCAGTGCAACACATGCATATGTCTAGTTGTTTATCAGGTCATGTAAATTGGCGATAGACTTTTACCTTTACAGCATCCTTTAGTGGTCCCCAACATTCCATGCGATTGTACTTAGGTGAGCTAGAATGAAAGTAAACCCAAACATAAGAATCCACTAACTCAGGATGGTCTCTGAAGAGTACTGAATCTCCATGTAGCACAGCTTTTAGTACCTATCTTGCATCAGAGTACAGGAGAAAATTCAACAAAGTGTGGAAGGGAGAATGAAATTTATGCGATGATAGAAGTGGCAATGCCATCTTAGATAGCTTATTCAAGTGTTCTAATTATTGTTAAAGAGGAGCTCACCAAAGGCAATTCCTTGGAGAATATATGATATCTGAACTCAGCAGCTAGATCAAGCAGACTATTTGGGCCACTTACATAGCAGTGGATATGCAAGCACATATTTTCTTTCACTTTCTTCCACTCAGCAACCACGTCATCCTTCTTGTACCAACCTGTTAACTGTCGTCACCCGCACAAAAAACAGTCATCCTATAGAAATCAAGATATCAAATGTTTGTTAAAAACTATAACAAATGAATGAAAAGAAAATGCCCCGTGAACAAATTTCCAGTCCCATAGTTCATAGCAGTAACAGCATACCCAAATATAAGCTTAAAATTAAACAACCTTAATTTTTGAACAAAAGATGTGAAACCAACTATTCATGTGGAAGCTTTAGATTTCATTTACAAGATTAAATGCCAAATCAATAAGCAAATACGAAATATGAATTGTTACCTGATCAATGTTGATCACATTGGAGATTGTCAATGTCAAGTTAGCTGTGAAGTCACAATGTGAAAGGATGTACACTCTCGGGATAATAGTGGAATATTTCTTCAACCCCTCTCCCAAGAAAACAACCTCCAGCTTTGAAGCCTCAAAATTTGCTGGAGGACCCAGAAGCCTTACGGCCTAAGAAAATCCAATCCAAACACAGAGCATAAGAGATTGCCAAAAAAAAGAAGGCACCTGGACAACTTGAAACAATCAATCATGTTTTGAAAACAAATGACAAATACTAAATAAATTTAATAACTTATTGAGAACTATGTTAAAATCAACTTTGGACAACATTAATAACTTATGCAGGTTAAAGAAAGAGATTGCATCGGCATCAGAGATAAAAAGATGCTTTTTCAACTGAAATATTAGATGAAGAGATGAGTGAAATAAATAACAGTTCTTTCACTAGTTCATGAAAACAACAAATAGATACACAAAACAAAAAAACAAGGAGAAAAACTTATATGGAAGTGTTAAAATACAAGCATTTTGACGTGTTTTTTCTTCGCCAGTTTCCCTGATGTCCCCTAGACTTACTGTGTCAAAAATGTCAGTATATTGAAAAGTAATCATTTCTTGCTCTAGAATATATGCATGAAGTAAAAAAGGTGTTTCTAAGTTTTCTGAGTTAAGACTATACAGAAATTTATCGTTACATAGAAAGGTTTATTTCATCTTTACAATGCAAATAGTTACGTGATACACAGAGAAAAAACGTGATTGCTAATGGCTCTTTACTTATGGTAGAAATAGCACGAATCCTGCTTCTAAAAACCAAAGAAGATGGACACTTCAAAGTAGTGGGTTTTTTGGATACTATGCACACATTATCAGGGCCAAAAAGATGTAACACAATAATTAAGCACATCCATGAAGCAGGATGTATCAACAAAATTAGAAATAGCAGTGAGTAGCAGATGTAAAAATTTACCAAGAACGTGAGAAATAATGGCACATTTCATTTCCCAAGCAGTATAACAAATGAAAGTCCTAAACCCAAATTTTATATGTACTAACTAAGCAGATAAAGAAACAATCAAGTAAAATGAAACTGATGTCTAGCAAAGAATCATATTCACAACAATGCAGATACGAGGAAGAGAAAGGAGAGAAGATGAACCTCAGAAACAAGAGTATTGGTGGTAATAGAGGAGCAGTAAAGAGGCCCAACTCTGAAAGACGACTTGAAATGTGCGTTCTTGTGAGAGGGGAAGCTTAAATGCGGAGAGAGTGAAAAGAAGTGGTGATGACAGGCCATGGAAAAGACATAACCTGCTACGACGCTTGTTGTTCGTCATTTCTCACAGTCCACCATTGTAAGCTTCTCTTGATCTGGACCTTGAGATTGAGAATTGAGAGAAGTAGTAGAAGAAGAAGAAGAAGAAGAAGAAGAAGAAGAAGAGAGATGGAGAAGATGTGGAGAAGGAGAGACCATATTACTGGCTATGTGGACGGACAGGTATTGACAAAATCTGTGTCCACTCAATTTTTTGTTTTCGGATTTTCGTTGTTTGCCCAAACCGAAAGTCGTGCCACGTCAGATGCCACGTCATAGTGCCACGTCAGCAAACAGACTCAGTATTCGATAACGCCTCTTATCCGCGTCTTGGATAATGCGCTGCCGTGGCTTCTATTTTTCCTCTCACACACACACACACACACATATAGATATATATATATATATATATATATATATATAACGAATGAATAGAAAATAAATGTAATAAACTAAAACCAGAAACTATACATAATAATATGAATATAAATAATGTTACATGTAATTTCGTAGTGGTACCCCATAACAATATATGTGTCTATTGACATTATATCACAAACACAATAAAGTTTCACGTGCCCATATAAGCAATAATTTTGACCAAGGAAAAAAAACCCTATAACTAATATTTAATTTTTAGTATATGTAAATTTTTTGGATGTATTACCACTTTTATTTTAAAATAAAAACTATATGTGGGTCAATATATATATGTATGTATGTATTGAGAATGTTATGTCTTTAATTCATCATTAAAAAAGTAGGGAGAATTCCATTTTGTTTCAAGAAGTGGGTCAAGGCCCATTTTGTGGGTGTCGGTGCATCGCCTTCACATCTAATTCGTTCACCCACAACCTTTCACATTCACGCGTTTAACCCTTCATTATTATCACTCGAGTAGCTGTCCCCCTCAAAGCTTTCACATTTATGTGTACATATATATATATATATATATATATGCATGTTAAGAAATTTCCCTTTCAGTTTGTACAACTGGTTTTTCTTTAAATGAAAAAAGCTATGATTTTTATCTCTTGGACTGTATAAACGAATTTACTTTTAAGTCTGTAATGCTTGATTCTTAATTTAACAAAACTATTAAAATTATATATACTTTTGGGGATCAACCCATTTTAACCTTTTGTTAATTTGCATAGTTTGATGGGAAAACCAAGTGACATGTGATGGCTTTGTAAATAGATCTTTCGGAGTCCAAATGTTGGATCAAAAGATGGCGTAGACCTTAGCTGTCCAATGGAAAATATCCTATAAAAACTCTGCTACTTTTGAGCACCCACATGCCACTCTGAGAGTGAGGATCAGCCTAATTTTCTAGCTTCCCCGTTCCCACTCTCGTCCCCCTTTAATTTGCCCTACTCAACTATATGTCTCTTTGTTCCTTCTGATTTCTGTCTGGCTCATCAACTGAGGTATCTTTCTAACTGTTTATCCTCTTATATGATGTGGGAATTCTTTGTTTCAAGTTTCAATGGCAAAAGTCTTCATCTTTTCTTGTTTATATATTTTTTTTAATGTTTTTACTTGTTGAGTGTTCTTCATCCTCAAAGTTTATGGATCTGATTTTGCTTCTGCAAAAGTGACTGTTTATTTCTTGTTTCATATTTACTGATCGGCACTCTAGTTTGATGCTTCCTTGACTGACATGAGTGCAGTAGTTGTGATTCGCAGTCATTACTCTGCTTGTTTAGATCTAGATGTTCATTCTATTTCTCTTTTCTGCTGCTTTTCTACCATTTTCATCTGCAGAACCTTACTGGAGTTTGGAACTGTTATTTTTTTATTGGAAAAAAAAAAGAGGCCGAGAGGCTGTCAAGAAGAAAGAGAAAATAAAGAGAGTGAGATTAAAGAATATGTTTATCTTGGTCGTCATCAGTGAGAATTCTGTATTTTCAGTGGTTTAATGAGCGTGAAAGACAGCTTGATCTGGAACAGAATGACCCGATTATATGCATTTCCTCACACTTAAGTTTTGACCAACACTTCATATCCCCTTTGAGTTTTAATGTTTTCAGGCAATCAAGTTTGTACTTTTGTTTCGCTTTCTGAAACCTGTATTTGTTATCTTCAACTTATCATAGTTTTGTTTGATGGGCTCAACCTCTTTTATTGTTTTCAATTGTTGCTTTTCCAGTTGTGTATAATTATCTGGACTTTGGCTTCATGGCTACTGGGAAATATTCCCGGGTAGATGGGAGGAGGTCATCAGGTTATTGTTCAACAATTATTACAGTTGCACTTGTTGCAGTTTGTTTAGTTGGGGTATGGGCGCTTATGACTTCATCAGTTTCCTCAGTTCAGAACTCAGACGTGCCATCCGAGGAAACTACACATGAGGTCAAGCATACAGTTGAAGAGAGTGATTCTAAGTCTTTTAAAGACAACTCTGATAGTTTGCCAGACGATGCGACAAAAGAAGATAGCCCTGAGGAGAAAGTAGCATCAGGCACCACTGACGAGGAAAATTCAGCTGAGCAAAAGCCAGATGAAATTTCTTTGAGGGGAGATTCTGACGAGAAGACTGAATCCCAAGAGGAACAAAAAAATCTGAGTGAAAATGATGGAAATGAAAAAACTGAAGATGGAGAATCGAGTTCAGGGGATGGAGAGAGAAATTCAGAAACTGGAGAAGGAGAAAGCGGGGGAGGGAATGAAAAAGAGCAAACTGAACTGGAGGAGAAACCAGGTGAAAATAAATCTGAGTTAGATGAGGATGAGAAGAACACAGAGGTAGGGGAGAGTTCAGATGGAATAAAGCAGGATGATGAAAAGGCTAGTGAAACGGAGGAAAATCCAGAGTCTTCAGAGCAAAACAACAGGGAGACTAACAGTGAAAGTGAAGGAAGTGATAAGGCTTCAGGTGAGCTTTTTCCTGCTGGTGCCCAAGCAGAGCTTTTAAAAGAATCTAATACTGATAGTGGGTCGTGGTCAACTCAAGCAGTGGAGTCACAGAACGAGAAGAAATCACAAGAGTCATTGATATCTAACAATCAAAATGGCTCTGGGTGGAAACTGTGCAATACCACTGCTGGGCCAGATTACATCCCCTGCCTCGACAACTGGCAGACTATTAAAAAGCTTCACAGTACGAAACACTATGAACATCGAGAGAGGCACTGTCCTGATGAAGCTCCTAGCTGTCTTGTTCCTCTGCCCGAAGGATATAAGCAGTCAATTAAGTGGCCTAAAAGCAGGGAAAAGGTTGATAACATTTTTGGTGATTGAACATCTAGTTTGGTTTTGGTTATAACTGTCATTCTTTTGTCTGATGCAGATATGGTACTACAACATTCCCCACACCAAGCTTGCACAGGTAAAGGGGCACCAAAACTGGGTCAAAGTTACTGGTGAATACCTTACTTTCCCTGGTGGTGGAACTCAGTTTAAACATGGTGCTCTTCATTACATTGATTTCATTGAGAATGTGAGTAATCTTCAGTTTTTCATTTTGAAATGTCTATTCTATCCCATTTTCATACAATGTTAAGTTGCTTTTATTCTGCCAGATGTTTATTCACTTTTGTAAAAAGGATGAGCTTTTTTACAATAGTTCTTTGTTCTACTGTGAATATATTTATTTCTATTGTTTATTTGTTTACACACTATGAATGCGACTCTTGTAGATTTTCCTCATTGTGTTCTAGATTACAAGCAAACACGTTTTTGCATAGGCATTTTCATGACTGTGTGTATAAATTATATCCTTGAGTCTGTCTCAATAGTAGTTGAATATTTATGAATGACAGAATTTATGTTAGATTGGCAATATATAAATTATGTCTTCTGATTTTTTAGGTAGTTTTGCACTTTAGCTTTTGTCTTTTCTTGCATCACTACTCAGCAACTATAACATATATTTCCTATTTGTATATGCAGTTGCTTCCTGATATTGCATGGGGAAACAGGACTCGTGTGATATTGGATGTTGGGTGTGGTGTAGCCAGTTTTGGAGGTTATCTTTTTGAAAAAGATGTTCTTGCAATGTCATTTGCTCCCAAGGATGAGCATGAGGCCCAAGTTCAGTTTGCACTTGAACGTGGAATTCCTGCCATATCATCTGTTATGGGAACCAAGAGGCTGCCTTTCCCTAGTTCTGTCTTTGACGTTGTCCACTGTGCACGTTGCAGGGTTCCTTGGCATATTGAAGGTGACTTCTTCACTTAAGTTCCGAATGTTTGTTTGGTTTACAGTGATTGCAAGTTAAATTATCTCTGATTTGGAGAAAACTTTTCACAAAACATGCAGGTGGCAAACTTCTCTTAGAACTGAATCGCGTCTTGCGACCTGGTGGTTACTTTGTCTGGTCTGCTACTCCAGTTTACCAAAAGCTTCCAGAAGATATTGGCATTTGGAAAGGTCCATATACTTTTATCCATGTGTACAATTTCTCTTCAGAGTAGTTTTATATCGACCAGAAGCACAGTGGATTTGTCTCATCATAATTACAATTTGGGATGACATTTTATTTTAACATGTCTGTTCTTCTTTTCTCTGTCTTGATGGCAGCAATGTCTAAGCTAACAAAGTCAATCTGCTGGAAACTGGTGGTGGTTGGAAAGGACCAACTGAATGGTGTTGGTGCGGCAATATTTCAAAAGCCAACTTTCCAATTAAGTGCTACAAGAAAAGGCCTCAAAATGAGCCTCCACTTTGTGAAGAATCCGACGATTCTAATGCTGCCTGGTATATTCATCTTTCAAGTATTAATGTTTGCACGTTCATATCCTCTGGCTTAAATTCTATGCATAATGCAGAATTTCATAAACTAATAGAGTGCTGAAACAAGTACTCAGAAATTAGGTAGATATGATGCTTCTCTTACAGCCATGTTCTATTCTGGATGCAAATAATTTTAGAAAGCAAGAAACCTGCATACCTGGAAAATTCATTATCTATGGGAATGCCAATAATGTTTCTCCACCTTGTGATATTGAGGGGATGACATTGCATCTCTTTTTATCACCAAGAGAAAAGTACAATTTTCAAATATTATTATTTACACAGGCAGTTGATTTTCTCTTCTGTGTCATTCAGTTGCACAATGAATGGCAGACTTTGAGCAAGCTATATTTTTTGCGCTACACCTGTGTAAATTCCAACTATAAAAACTCCTATGAAATGTATTTGTCTGAGTATTATAAGTTAATTTTCAGAGAAATGCTTCGGAGAGCTAAGAACAGTTTAATTTATTCAGGGTAGCAAACCATGGTATCTCTGCCTGGTTGATAGATATGATTAGCACTTGAGAGGTTGCAAGAAGTAGGATTTAAGGGGATAAGCATCTCCATTTTTGTTCTAATTTTTGTTAAATAACAATGTCGTATTAATATGAACGCAGTCTTTTTTATTTTAGAATTGCAAAAAGACTATTTTTATTTCACAGTTGCAAAAAGGAATAAATATTTGGAATGTGAGAATACTGTTATTACCCAGTCTCTGAAAAAGGTATTTCCATAGCTTTCTGTTTTATTTTAGAATTGCAAAAAGACTATTTTTATTTCACAGTTGCAAAAAGGAATAAATATTTGGAAACGTGAGAATACTGTTATTACCCAGTCTCTGAAAAAGGTATTTCCACAGCTTTCTGTATCAAGCTATCAATTGCATGAAGAAGTATCTGATCCACTATTGAATAACTCACTGCAATGAAAGAGTATTCTAGTGTTACAAACGAGAGAGTCTGATTTTCAATTGACTATATGTGTTTTCATTGGTGTGCATCTTCAGGAATGTACCACTTCAGGCATGCATGCATAAAGTGCCAGAAGATGCGTCAAAGCGAGGAGCTTCTTGGCCCGAGCAATGGCCACTGCGGTTGGAGAGACCACCCTACTGGTTGAATTCTCAAGTAGGAGTTTATGGGAAAGCAGCTCCAGAAGATTTTGCTGCTGACTACAAGCACTGGAAAAATGTTGTTTCAGAATCTTATTTGAATGGGATGGGAATCAGTTGGTCTTCCGTAAGGAATGTCATGGACATGAGAGCTGTATATGGAGGGTAAGCAATTTTGCACATTTCATTCCCTTTTTTCCTAATCACGATTGCTAGCATCTCTAGAAGATTCTTTTTTCTAGAGCACCTGGGTACATGAATGTAACCGTTGGCCAGTCTCTCTGTGCTATGAATTACTTTCTGGTGGCTCAGAGAAAATTAGTAGGTGGGAATATCCCTGTTATCCCACACCATAGTCTGCACAAGATGGTGGCATACCATTCTTATTTGGTGAATGATGATAGACATCCTTCATAGCTTTGTTTCGTTCATGTTGGCTTTGTTTTTTTTTTTCTATTTTTCGTGGTTTAGTTAGAAAGAGAGAAGCTTTTTCCTCGAGGAAAAAAAAAGAATTAAATATAGAAGCTTTTGCAACAAATCTTAACTTTTTATTATGCTTTAATTTGATGGTTAGGTTTGCTGCAGCACTGAAGGACATGAAAGTATGGGTCATGAATGTTGTTCCAATTGATTCACCTGACACACTTCCTATAATATATGAACGGGGCTTATTTGGAATATATCATGATTGGTGTGCATCATTCAGTACCTACCCCAGAACTTATGATCTTCTTCATGCTGATCATCTCTTCTCCAGTCTCAAGAAAAGGTAGAAATTTTTTCTTTTCTGTGAATAGGTCCTTGACTAAGATGCTTCTTTGGTTGCTTTGATCTGAAATGCTATTTGCTTTTGGGAGCAGATGCAATTTAGTGCCTGTAATTGCAGAAGTTGATAGGATTTTGAGGCCAGAAGGAAAGCTGATCGTGAGGGACAATGTTGAAACAATCAGTGAGATTGAGAGTGTGGCAAAATCTCTGAAGTGGGAAATCCGAATGATCTATTCAAAAGATAAGGAAGGGTTGCTTTGCGTTCAAAAGAAATGGTGGCGTCCCACAGAGGCTGTAATGATACCATCAGCCATTAGTTAGAGATGATGTTTCGGTCAGTTTAACTGTCAAAAGTTGCCACACTGGTCGAAATAGCGTGTTAGGTATTCATTCCATTTCACAAGAATTTCGATATAATCAGTAATGTAGCAATTCCATTTTGAAATGTAAAATTACAATGGCTGATTATTCTTTTAGCCATCTTATTAAAGTAGCATAGGAGGGTTTATCATATCATTATGTTAGGAAAGTCAAATGTACTCTTGATTTGTTAACTCATCATCCCTGGAAATGTATACTAAAAGTGTTCCAAGAATTTGTCATTTCTTCTGTGCAAATTCTCTATCCATTCAACTCCAACTGTTCCTGTGTATCCGGTTCCCAAGATTTAAATATAATTCCTTCATATGGCATTCTGCGCTACCCAAAGGTTGGATTCTGGTATCAAGAATATATACATCTATATTTATGTTTTTATATTATAAGGAACTCTGGCCAAATGAATCTGGGATCTTTTGGTAATGTCTGGGGAATCGTTATTTGTTAGTCTCCTGCTAGGGACAGCGGAAGCATGGTCCTTATCTTTCACATTTGGATGAGCATGGTTTCAGGCAACTACAAGTGATAAGAAACATATTAAACTGAACCTGCTCTTGTAACATATGGAATATGAGAACTTGAAATAAAAACTGTCTCCTGTGAAAGTTAGTATCTTGCTTGTGAGTTCGTCCAGATGAGCAGTTGGGAAAACAAATTCCATGGTTCCAAACATTTCTGTAATGTTATATTATTAGACGATGTAATTTTATAGCACTAAAGGGTTTATAGAAACCAAATTTAGTCAATAAGACAGACCACAATGAGTGAGTGAGAATTAAGGTCCCAACCACTTTGAGAGGAAGGGACGCACTACACCTGCTTCCAGCTCCTCTTGTTCAAAAACATCCCTATGTATGTATAGGACTATCTTTCTCCCGACAATCTTCCAGCCTACCAGTTGTTTAATATATAGGGTAGGCAGCATATATGTATATACTTTGGTTAAGTGAGCTTTTCTTCTTTGTTAAGGGGCAGTGAAAACTCCAACCGACCCTTTTGATTATACACCAATGTCTTAAACTTTAGGTCCTTTCTTCGTGGTTGGACCTTTGATTACTTTTTAAAAAGTACCCTGTTTGTTTGCTTCAATAAACTCTGTTTGCTTTTTTCAGATTAGTATCATATTATCTTACTGATAAAATTTTGAATCTTTTATCCTAAAAAACTCTCTTTGTTGGCAAAGTAGCATACAAAAGTTTCAAGATGTTTCTTTTAATTGGACTGCGCTTAAAGCTTGTTCCATTTTTTCTTGCTTAAAATTTGTTTAGTTAGCTTCTGAGCCATATGCATATAATGGAAAGATCACACTCCTCATGTTTGCATGATTGAGGTTTAAGATAATAATAGTTGGTGGGTTTAGGATCTCTGTTACAAGGCTTCACTGGCAAATTTTATATTTAAAATTTCACTAGTTTTTATAAAGCTTTGCATCCGTGCAAATACATATATATATATACACACACACACACACACAAGCATGCACTTGTTTTTTTAACCTAAAATAAATGCAATGCACGTAATTATTAAATTAAGACTATCAAGTAGGGTTCTTGACTTTGAATGGCAAAGATGCATGCATGTGGACATTACATCATTAATAAATCACTTCTTTTCTGGGTCTTGTGAAGAAATATGAAAAAAAGAAAATGGGGTTTTCTGAGAAGTTAGTTGATAGGAATTGGGAGTTGCTTAGAATATGGAATTAATTCATTTTTATCTTTAATATAGATTACTTATTTGGGAATGATACAGCAAAAGGGTTATGCATCCTAGCTGATGATGTTATTCAGAGGGCATGAACACCATGAGGTGAGTCGATATATATATATATATATATATATATATACTAGATAGACTAATCAAATTAAATATATATGGTTGTTTTTGTTGCTCTTACTTTCATATACTATATTATGTAGTTAGTCGCACTAGTTATTAAATGATTTGAACAAAGTCTGACAGCAAAAAGTTGTTAACTGCAGACTAGAGAGATTAAAGAATTCTAAACTAATGAGTATTCAAATATTTAATCCCTCAAGCTTCAGACACTCAGATTCTACTTCCTAAGAGACAATGAGAGCAACAACATGAGCTGCTTAATAGTTTATAAATATAAAAGTACCCATTGTCTGCCATTTACACACCTTTCCTCAAACAAACAAGTTGGCAATCTCCCTACATTACTCAACATGTCTGCTTCTGCAAACCTTCTAAAGCCACTTATCTTTAGGGTGGTCTCTCTACTCACCTCATCAGAATTGTTTCAACAATGTCAGTTTCTTGCAGGAACAAGTGCTTTCTCTTCACTCTTCTTGCTCTCCTTGTTTTCTCCGAGGCAGCGAGACCCCCTAAGGCGTATTGGGAACAAATGCTCCCCAAGAAGCTCCCAACTCCTTCCTCATCTCCATCCAAAGGCACCAATGCCGTACAAACATCATCTTCAACCATCCTCAAGGCTGATACAACTCTCTCTTCTTCAGATGGAAAGGTCTAGCTTAATTATGCTTGACCACTTCTGATTCTACATATCTCTAACTGTAGATTATGGCTCCTTTGAGACTGCATATATTGGCACAAGAGGGATTGGTGAAGAGTTCTGTATAACAGTCTTCACAGCTATCTGTATCTATTAATCTCCCAACATCTTGTAGATTTCTTCGATGTACGGATACATTCTATTTGTAAAGAGGATATAGTACAGATTTTCTTGATAGGCGGATAAATTTTGCAATTGGTGATTTGATCAGGATGGAAGAATGAATGAGTCAGTCAATACACAATAAAGTGAGCTTTTGTTATATGTTTCTTGAGAAGGTGGATTTCTCTTTGCCTTTAATAGTAAATTCTTCCATATGTAATACTCCATAAGTAACTGTAATTTCTCTCTATATTATAGTAATTGAACAGAAAGCAATGAAGTCTTGAATTTCTTACCATGTTAACTAACATTTATTGATCCATTCAAAAACATTAAAAAATTGAAGTGAGGCAGCTGGTCTAATTGAAATTCATTTAGCATTCTTTTTGAAAAAATAGTATTTAGTTTTATGTGAGTAGATCAATTTAACTTCCAAAACATGCAATTTTCTTGACAGAAAAAGGTTTCCTATTTCATTTGAATCTATTGATTAATCATTTTGATCAAGTCTATTTCCAAAGTTTCTCAATAAATTCAAGAGTTGATCAAGCCCATTACACATATTCAAAGGCTTAATAAAACCAGTTACATTGTTTTTAGTCTCTTGAGTTAATTCATAAATTCATGCGAGATTGAGGCACCTGATTTGCATAATCGCATTACAAAAAGTATTGAATTGACATAATTCCATCATAAAACATAATTCTTTTGGACTGATGCTTGACAAACTAAATAATTGACATACTGATTAAGAGTTAACAAGAGCAAGAATCCCTTATATTTGGCAAACAGGATATGAACATTCACGTGATTAGACAAAGTTCACCAGCACCTGATTTAAGACATGTACATAATGCATCTGTAATACATTACTACTAAAAGCCTCCATTTCATAAAAGATTTTCTGGATATCCACAGCTACAATGAAAGGCAGTCTCCGACAAGATGGAGAGCCCACAAGCAATCAGTTACCGGTTAAATATGCTTTTGAAGTAAAGCCATGGACAAAACTACACCAAGCTACCCCACTACCAGAGTCTTTCTATAAAACCTAAAACACTGATATAAACAACTCCTACATGCATTGCAAGGCCCCACCAAATCATTGAACTCTACACATCAAACGTCAATCTTAGTTGTGAGCTCCTTGATCGGCTATCCTAACCAAGCTTTTTAGTCATCCAAAAGTCCAAACTCCACAATGGACCTTCAAACAACCAACAAAAAGAACTATACAGAATGTGCACACATTTCTTGTCCTACTTACATTGGTGAAGAAGGCACACATTCAACAAAAGAACATTGAACTCGATACGTTTTCCTTCAATCTGGGCAGTTGTGGCACTGCAACAGCTCCAGCAGTTGTTGTTCCTCCATGACTCGAGGATGTCTCAGAAGCATCTTCAAACTTAATAAACTGTCCCATCTGGGTGGCTGCCAGATGAGCATAGCATACAGGTGCAACTGCATGAAGATATATCAAAACATCAAGATACCATGAAATATCGAAATCTTAAATTAATGTAGAGAATGTTATTTGATCCCATATGCAATTTTAAAATAAACTTAGTTTACCTACAGAAATGGCAGTTGTGCTTCTTTGATATCTGAAATAACCAAATTTAAAATCAGGATCTAGTCATGAATTTTACATACATCACTCATGCTCAACTCAAATATGCACTTACACATAAGATAGTGAATGAACTAGCTCTTGGAGATCATCTGCAGAGAAGCCAATCTCATCTAACAGAACATGATAGTGTGTAGGCCTTGTAGTTCCCTGAGAAAAAAATGGAAAACCAATCAACAAAATTGTGGTATGTACTCATGTCAATTACAAATCAAAATCAAGAAACAATGAAGCTTACAATCATGCCAGCATGAGCACATAGATAAAAATCGTTGTTTCGTGGATGACAAATTTTACTGTCAATAACAGTTCCTGCAGAAGCAAAGACAACAGAGGTCATTCATCACCAAAACCATAGAAAACTAGCCTAAAGGTAAAAGAAATTGTAAGGTTTACCAGGTGGAACATTATCTGGGGAGCCAGACTGGAAAAATTTCGTATGATGGTTCTTCTGTGCAATGATCACCAAGAACTTTGGGGACCAGGATTCATCAAGAAATTTACAGGCCTATGTCAAGAAAGTTTTACTCATCCATATTAATCGTGAAATCATTAATCTATTTTCTTAGTAGTTAAAGAGATTTCACAGCTCAATACACAAGGAGTGTTACCTCAATAATTTGATCAAGTTCGATGTTAAGAACTTGATTGAATTGTGACTCACTTACTCCATCCCTACAAGCCAAAAGATGATACTCATCAACAGGGGAGAATTAAAACATGTCTGCATGCATAAAACTTACACCATATTAAAGACAATTTAACAACATGCATCCCACCTAAATAGAGTTTGTTGGAATCAGATAAAATTAGACTGAAAAAATTGGTATAGACAAACTAAAGAACAATTGTCATAGCACCACAAAAATAAGAATTAACAAATAATACTAACTATTTTTTAAACGAAAGAAATTAAACAAATTACTTTACAATGTCTGCCAACCAAAGAAAATAGCCTGTTCCACCATACTAAAGATGCCTTCCCAAGGTCTAAGGCAAAAAAAATATATACCTGAATATGATGATCTGATCAGGTTTTCTTTTCCCAGAACTCGTATAGAAGTCCAGCAGCAGCTCCCTGAAATATGAAAATGTATTTTTTCAAGAAAAAGGAAATACGAAAATATGGATTTGAAGACCAACATTAGAGAACATTAACTTGTATAGTAAATGATTGAGATAAAAACAAACAAACATTTGGCAGGGAATTGATCTCATCTGAAATTCAATACATAGGCTATAAAATTCTCACCTTTAAAACATAGAAAAATCATTTTAGTTTAAAAACAAGTATCAATCAAATATATTTATTTTCAATTCAATAAAAGTTGCCAAGTTTCCCAGACAAAAAACCACAAAAATACAATCCAATAACTTGCTACAGTAAAAAATTTGAGAAATAAAAGAACAAAATACAGTGCAAAAACTTGTAAGTAAAAAAACGTGGAGAAATAAACTAGAAAACATATATGTGAGGAATTTATCTGAATGATAGATACCATACACCACTTCCCCACAAAATGGGAAAAAAACTTCAAAAGAAATTTCTCACGGAAAGTAATAAACACAATTGTTTTCAATTCAATTTAAAGCATTATGGAAAGGAATCCTACCTCATGATACCATCATCCTCAGTCTCCGACACTCGCTTGAAAAGAGAATCAATCATTTCAACCTTGGGGGACTGTGTACGCACAGAAGCTCTATATCGTGAGATCAATGGCCACTGCCTAGAGCTGACAACCTACAAGCCACAATAGGAAAAGTACCCAAAGCTATAGTTAGAAACAAGAAAACTCTATCGGAGGAATCTGAATCAGCACGATAGACATAATCACCTGATACTATTAACAAAACACCAAGCTTAAAAGGAAAAACATCTTACTGCTGCAATTGATGGAACATCAGATTGCCCAGGAGAGCCGTGTGAAACATCCATCCCAAGGATGATAGTAGGAGCCTTTGAAACAATAGGGATTGCAGGAGAATGTTCAATTGCTAATATTGAATTCAATCCACCAAGCTGCAAATTAAGATACCAGATATTCAGATTGGACATCACAAGAAGAGAACTACACAACAGTTTCATTTCAAATCAACTACATAAACAAAGAATTAGAAGAAAAAGGTCTGGAAGCTTACCTTTGCATTGATCTTCAGTAAAACATTAGTGAGATATTGGTCATTGACCCTTGTGGGAGCAATGCATTGAGTGACTATACCAAATTCAGCAAGATTCTTCCGTTTCCAAGGACCTAGAAGATTTAGCCATCAGCCAACCCAAATCATTTAGCACTTCTATAACACCCAAAAAAAAATTGACAATTGGATAAATTAACCATAAATGTCACAGTTCTTTCTCTCAGGAAGTAAGCAAAGAAGGAACTCAGGAGCCCCTGGAAGTTTAGCTTGTATTTCCTCAAACATCTTCTCCACTCTAACCAAAGCTGGGGCTCGTCTAAACTGATGACTTTCTTCAAAAACCTCAAATGGAGGTTCTAGGCGCTATAGGAAAGAGAGAAGAAGACTTAAAGTCAGCTATTTTTCCCTCACCATTACAAGATATGAATAGAAGAGCTTACAATTCCTTTCATTTCTCCACATTTTATTAGATCTCGCACAAGACCACGAATATCACAACGTGCCGAGAAATTCACAACTGCCCATCTTTCAATCTTAGTTGGTTCCGCGAGTTTCTGCAAATCATTAAAACCTGTTGTGAGTAACTATCCAAATAAAAACTAAAAACAGAGAGGGAAGAAGAGGAAATGTAAACCTTATTATTGAAATTCCAACGCCCATTTCGAGGAAAGAAATCTTCCCCATTGCCCACTTTTAACTGTTACACAAACAAAAGAGAATTCTTCTAAAGCAAATACCAAAAGTTCATGTTATCAGATATCGACAAGATAAATAAAGAACTCTTCAAAAAAAAATAAATAAATAAAGGAAGAGAACACACATAAATACATACCCTGGGAGCTGGCAGAACACGGCCTTCAATTTGAGTAAAGTTCGTACTGATTGAGATGCCACATTGCCGGAGCATAGGTTCAGAACCATAATTGCTGTTTCTCAAAGCCTGAAATAAACCATACGACACAAAACAAAAAAATATATATATCAAATATTCAATTAAATCTTCATAGGTTCAGGGACCACAGTTGCTACTTCTCAAAGCCTGTGAGGAAGAATTATGATACAAGCTAAGGAATGAAGACACCTACAATAGATAAAGCATTCATCCGTTCCTGTGGCTTCTGCCTTGATTTCTCCACTAGCGAAGCTCTTTGGAGAGTTGAAAGTGCTTTTGTGTATCGCTGCAAGGGCACCAAAGAGCAAAGCTACAAGTGCAAAACACAAACAATGTTACTAACAACTGCTAATTGTTCACATAAATTTTAGCCCATTGAACTGAGGTACATCAACCTACCTCAAGTGGGATAAAAGTGGGGCGTTTCGGCTTTCCAACATTAATGCAAGGCAAATCACCAGAGTACCTCAACTCTATACCACGAGTATTAACAAAGTAATCATACACAGTCACTTCAGCTTCTTCCCCATTATCATCCTTCCTATTCTTCAATACAAACCTAAATCACAAACCCAATAAACCAATTATATGTCAATATATGTGATATGGAAGTGAAACTGTACCATACCAATATGAAAGGTAGGCATAAAAGATAATATCAATTCAAAAATTTTCAAATATAGCAACACCAGAAACAACATACGTTTGCTCCTTGCATGGTCTCTCACTCAAACCAGTTATTTTGTATTCCTGATTTGAGGGATTGGCCTTGATCCTCAAATTTTTCAGTGTTCTTTTAGCCTACCAATGAATATGGTCAATAGATTCACATGGGAAAATTCAACTAGTAGATACCAATATAGAGAAATGCCAACTACCTTTGACCAATCAATGGAGTAGGGATCTCTGACATTTTGATTCTCAATTAAGAAATCCACCACAGGCCCAGGCCGTATTATCATTGTAGTTGACACATCTGAGAAGAAAAGCAACAGCTCATGAAAAATGAAATGAGACATGAACACGTAGAAACCAAGTTTAGCATTGTTACCAATATTTAAAGACAAGCCTCCCTGAGAGGCCCTGAAGCTTGAATGAAATCCTCTACAACCTAAGACACCACCACCCACATCCGCGAAGTTCTTCGGATCATTATGAAAGAAAGACTGCCTAACAAGAAGGCATCCTCTGCAATAGTCCAGATATTGTAAGAATTCATATAGATTTCAGCCACAAATAAAAGGAATATATAAACAGCAACACTCACTGTCTTGATGCATGTTGCCGTAATATTATATCCAGAACCCTCAAGGCTTCTTGTGAATTTTCCGATTCCTGTCCACGCAATGCATTTGCAATAGCCTGCATGGGAATCTTTGCAGCAAAGCTAATTTCAACCCTAAAAGTTTTGGATTGGTAGGGCCTTCTAAGCCTTTTCCTGTCGGTCTCATTAGGACTTGCATCTCCACCTGGGCTACCAAGCCCATTATTCCTACATAGAAGGTAAAATAAGACAAGAAGCACCAAGACTAGGAAGGAACAAAAAACAGATTCATCAATAATCCACCTGCTAGAGGTAATTTCTTCAAGCACAACAGTGAATTCAAGTTTGTTACGCGGAAGGGGACCAGCAGAGAATAAGCTCTTCTCTCCATCATAAGCAAAGTTTTTACCGTCTAACTCGCTATGATAAGTCTCTTGCACCTTATCAATCAATTTTCTTCCCACACCCTTGCCCTCTACAGGGCGGCCATCTTCATATTTGAGAGCAACCTGTGGAATAAAATCTATAAGGAAACTGAATTTATCACAGGCTTGAGTTAGAAAAGATTTACCACTTTAGAAGGGCGAAGAGACATGGCATACACTGTAATGGTAGAAGTGACCCTCCACACTAGAAACGTTAACTTTGAAATGATTTGTAAGCAACTGGATCTTCTGCCCTTTGGACCCAACCCCACGTCTAGCCATTGGCACCCGCGTAACCTTTTTCTTTTCAGGCTCCACTTTCACTGGAGTTACGTCTGGTGGGATAACAGCAGGGGGAGGAGGTAGCATGTCCTGAGCCCCATTTCCTTCATGTGCCCCATTTCCTTCCATATCCTACACTCATAAGACAAAACGTTAAAGAGAATGGAGAGTAAAATACATATTTGCAAGCATCTGATAATAAGGAGATGCTCACTAGAAAAAATCACATGCTTTTCGGATGAATAAAAAGAAGAGAAACAGATCTATCACTTCAACCACTGACGTTTACAGATAAACCAACCACCATGCATAAAGCACGCAATGTACATGCATCAAGGCACCTATATTTTAACTATCATAGGAGACAAACGGGAAGGGATAGTACATATATTCAAACATCTAACAACACAAAAAAGTGGCGACAAAAAAAAGCAGACACGCTTTGCAACGAACAGAGAGAGCACCAAATTTACTAATCCGTGTATTTAACAAGCACCCAACAAATCAACAAAAGCATACAACTCACAATGTCAGCGACCATATACCTAGGAATGTATATTTCAAGCATTTGAGAAACATGCACAGCAACTGCAAATATCAAACGAAATCAACCATCAACTGAAGCGAATCGTACCAACCTAGGCGACTTACAGCGCAATCGCGTCGATTCCGAAGGCAGAGAAGGAGTTGATGATAGCTTCGAGCGGTGAGACGGAGGTCGCAGAGAGTTAGGTCAGAGAGACGTTGGGGAGGTTGCCGTCAGCCGCTAGAAAACATGGGAGTGCAAGTGTGATTTTTTGGATTCTTCTGCCATGTGGAAAGGAGAAAATGAAGTATTTATGCCCCTACTTAGGGTTCATAGAATTTCTTTTTTTTCTTTTATTTATTTTTCTCCCGCGTGGGCTTGTAGAAACTTTTAATCCATTACTACTCTGGGCCCAATAAGGCTATATTTTATATTCTCATTTAATTAAATATTATTTTTTTAGTAAATGGTATTCTTAAAAAATAATCTTAATAAAGTAAGAAAAATTAAGTTTATCATATATTTAAAAATACCTCGTAAATAACCAATATATAATAAAGTAGTAAATCATAAAGTATTTAATTAAAACGCATATTTTTGTTAGTTAAAAATTAAACTATTGTAGTTGTCCAAGCATATTTTTTAAGCAATTTCCAAGTTTATTTTTTGAGAAAATTAAAATTTATATTAATGATGCAAATATTCCAAATACCATTAAAGAAAATTGGGTTTTTAAATACTTTATTGGTATTTATGTATGTAATAAATTTCATTTGTCGTCGCATGCATCACCATATCTCATGCAACTTTTAATTTACATTATCCTATTATTTATAAAGTGAATTTAATATCAAGACAAAAAAAAAACTATATATTATATTTATTATAATAAATAAATAATTTCCATTTTATTAGCACCAAATGCGGTGGTTATACAATAATAATTCATTGCAACAATAAATCACCTCCTAATAATAACAAAAATATAAAACAAAAAAAAATTAAATTCCAACCCACTCTGACTTCCTTCTGTACACTTATAACCAATTGAATTTGTTGATTCCATGCGCACGGATTTAAATATTAACCATCCGATTGTACGAATCGACCTCGACCCACGTAATCCGACGGTTCGTAATTCCTGCCTACCGAATTAATTATATGTTGTAGAACAAGTAAAGAAGAAAATTAACGGATGGGATGGGATGGAATGGGCTTTTTCAAGTCTGACACGATACCACGTCGGCAAACCGTCACATGGGCCATTAATTGAGAGCTCCATAACCAAACCGGGAAAAGCTGCCGGGTCCACTATTGAAACGACAGCGTACCGGCTTCGTGTTCTTATAAGGCTAGTGTCAGTATGACGATGGCCGCAATGCCACGCGATCGAGTGTACGTGGAGGGCGATGCGCTGCTCTGGTCCAGCTCACCCTCGTACACCATGGTGCTGTTAATTGACGGCGTGATTGTCTCCGTGCCCGTGGTCTGCCCCTGAGACGATTTCTGACTGCACGGTTAAAGAAAAAAAAAATAGCCGTTAGACATTGGAGAAAGACAAAGTTGTAAGAGGTGTCAGAATTTTATTGGACTGTGAGAATTATGGAGGAGTTGTCGGTAGACGTTAGTAAATTTTTTTATTCTGGGATACAAAAACCCCACCCCCCACGTATGGCGGTGTCGTCCTTTTACGGCTTCAAATTACTGTTTTGCCCCTGCCATACACCCAATTAATACCCTCCATCTTTTTCATGTGCAGTGGAACATTTGAGATTTTCTTCTGATGGGTCAAAAAAGATTCCCCACTGAACAACAATATTCGTCAAATACGACTTTTATAATATTACTTCAAAAAGAATATTAATACAGACCCCCCTCCGGTCTGGGAAAGTAGTTCCCACATTTGGAA